TTGGAATGCATTACATTATTTTCTTTTCTGATGACCATCATACTTCTAAAGTAACAACTTCTCGACACCGAAGGCATTTTTATATTTGGCACAAATACTACATTCCTTCTTTTAGACATCAAGGACCGTATTCATAGTCGTCACTGACAATGAGGGCAAAACCTGAAGAAGCTCCTTACAACGCCTCATTCGTTACCAGTACACTCATAGCCGCAACTTCTCCTCGCACACACGAAGCTCCTTGCACCTACAAGGGAGGTCCACACTTCACTTACAAGTGAACCGTCCTTGGCGGGCTGAAAATAGTCGTAATTTGAAACGAATGGAAATGGTCTACAAGTTTGAAGATTATAAACATCTTTATGGTGGCATCGTTCTACGTAGGAACTTTGATATATTTGCCTGATATGTAAAGCCCTCGGGAAATGCACAACGATCAAGAATATTTAAGAAAAGATATCTTTTTACCAAGACCAAAGTACACGTTTTAGTAACGTTGGTGGCAGAAACCTGCTGTAACTAATAGAGGTTTACAGATTTTCCACTATTTAAGACACTATATAGGATACTACCACCATTTAAGTAATTGTGTACGTTAGGTTACCCCGCGAATGCCTACGGATGCATGGACGCAAGATCTAGTTCACGCCTAGCTTGAAGAGTTTCAGGCTGGTTTCAAGTGGCAAGTGAAACAGCCAATACAGTGTTGCCACGCGAGACGCTGCTAACGTCGTACTTATTTTATTGTCAAGGCTATTAAATGAAATCTGTAGCTCGTTTTTCGAAGCAAACTTTTTTCCTATTAGACGGGAGCAAACACTTCTGGTTATCAGAGTTTGTCAACAAAACTTGTGGCTATCATTTATTCTGAATTCAACTAATATTAGTGAAGGAGCCGGGGCTCAAGTGCTCGTATAATCTTCTATAATATAAAAATGAATCGCAAAATGTGTTGGTAAGCGCATACCTCAACAACGCCTGGACCAATTCGCACAGCCGTGTCTCTTGTGATTTTTCTGAATTGCAAAGGGTTGGCATCTCCCATGCAAGTTTACCTTATTACGTTTTATACAAGTCCCAAGATTTATCAATATGACATATCTATTAATCAGAAATCTCGTGAGTGCCGATTGTGTCGCGTTGTGTGTCACCCACAGCTCTGATCGAGAATATAAATTAGAGTCGCAAGTCTCTCCTAAAAACTATTATATATAGATATATGTCCTCCATTAGTACGGAAGCATTTAGTAGAAGGAAAAACCAGAAATGCTACAAACAAGCCTAGATTACCGATCTAATCATGCTCCACAAGGAACGGTGACGAGAATATGAACGGAAAGAATTCGGATAGCATCAGAACTGCTTTGAACGCAACTCGTTTATATATTCAAACTAATAACGCTCAGTATGTTTGAATCGAGCTGCTTTCAGTTACGTAACGTGTCAATTGACTACCATAACTACAATTGTCTGTTGTTTTTCTTGGGTCTATGAACTCGGTTTTGCATCATATTGTTAAGACGACTTGTAGAAATTTTATAACTGATAAAGCCTAATGGTATTGTTTGCAAGTAAACGGAAAGTTGAAATTGATAACATATTTGTACACACCACCAGAGTCCCCCATTGTACTCAATTGCCGTTTCAAGGAATAGGAACGATTCCATTACACTTTTTAATAATATCAACAATATAAAAATATTACGGACATTAATATCGGAAACAATCACTTACTAAGTAATGACGGTTACCACTGAATCGTCGTACCGATCGACAGCATTGGAAGCATCAACAATGGATCAAATTAATATCAACAAGATATTTAAATAATAATCGTTGAGCTTGTCCAAATTCTACCCATTATATCAAAGACTTCAAGCACACATCAACGTTGAAAATCTGCATTCAGTGAAATCTATTAAATACATTTGCAATATGTAGACCTAAAGGGGTATATGGTGTGATTGGATTGTGCAGAGGAATTCATGATGTAAGTTGACCCTATACCGAATGGCCGCTATGTTATAGTAATGAAGCAGTGTGGAGAATATATTTTTTTTTGTCCTATTCATGAGAGACACCCTCTTGGCGTTGTTCACGATAATGCATGTCTAAAGTCCTCCAATTGTGAAACATGTCGATACTTTATTTAAGCAAAGATATGCGTGCCGAGTTGGAAAAGTGACAATCTGGACAATCAATTTGTCTAAACAATCATTGACATTGGATGGCAAATTCCTATAACATGTTGACTGGCATGCATTTTCTCTCAAAGTTTTTTTCAGTTAACTCGATCAAAAATGAACATTATTCAGAAGGTGTTTCCAGATGTTTCTCAAAATATACAGAAAACATGATTGGTTGAGCGAACGGAGCTATATTGGCTGCCAAAAAAACATAGATTAAATGAATTAAATGTTTAAAATTCAAGCACAACAATAACAGGCCAAATAGGATATATAAATTAGTTGATTTGGCTACTAACCTAAGATATGAGTGAACTATCCACCAGAATTTTAAACTTGCTGGATTTACCAGGATTGCCAACCTCACAATCTTCAATGAAAGGTTGGATCCGTAGTTATAAGTTGCGAATATAACCAATATCACGTCTTTGCAACAGGCACACGGTTGATAGGCGTTACTAAACTAATAAAAATTAACTACAACGTATAGAAATTCTTGAAAGGTAAAGTATAAAGGAGATAATGTTTTCATACGGCGGCATCAATCTGATCCGACTGATGTGCGTTTACTTTAACTCGATTAAGTTTCCCAGTTTCGGCTTCAGCCGATATATATGAGCTTTGCTTTTCGCTATGCTTTTAATATGACCATAACATATCCCAGGGGCAATCATTAATGTGTATTGTATGGTATTAATCTGGAGAAGAAACCATGTTTCTGACATGCTCATATGTTGTCTGCTAGGTTCCGTGTTGCGATAAACCATCAGATTGTTTGTTCTAATGGCGCCATGGAATCAAAACAAAAGAACATTGTAATACTCACAAAGCAACTACAATGAAGAATAAAGACTAATTTTTGTTTAATAATTATGATTCGCATGGTTAACAATAATAACGATTAACTTTATCTGTAAAATGTTCTTATTATATTGTTTTATTTATCATATATTTATTATCACAACGCCCTATCACCAGGTGACGTTCTGGTTCAGCGAGATTTTGCCCAGACTATAAATATGTAGAACAAAAACTGTAACATACAAATTTTTGGACAGGACGAATTCCTGTCGGGTCCGCTAGTATGATATAAATGTGCTTAAGAA